TTTTTTTTTTCCACATGTTGCCCTGTTTCAGTTTCTGGTCCGCTGGTGCATAGGTGCATATTGCCGCTGTTTCGGCCCGGTCGTTGGTTTGTTCAGAGGGTATGATGGAACCGGTACGGTCGGTGCGCGGCTGAGGGTACGAGATCCTGCTGGGAAAGCCAGAAAAGAAAAGGAGACGGGCTGGACGGTGGACGGGTTGGGGGGGTCAAAGACGGTGGATTCATAGAGACACGGACTGGACTGCACATGTTCTGGAGCGCCTGCGATGACGATGATGATGATGATGATGATGATGATGATGATGATGATGTGGGCGGTTTGGATGCCTGAGATTCGGACCAGGACTTGGGGATTTGCCCAAAGGGAAAGATCACGTGCACAAGAAAACCATAGAAAACCAAACCTAATGATGATGGCCCCTCCTCATCCCTATATAGATTCTAGCTGTAGCAGGTCCCGTGCAATGCTGTTTTGGAGGAATGCAACACAGACACACCTTCTTGGGATCACCAAGTCGCAGGATGTGAGAAGAGCAACCCTCATCGAATGATCCAAAAGCCGGCTGTGAGTCAAAACCATTCAACACCTGCACCAGACCATGGTAGCTTGATCTCCTTGATCGGGGAATCCGTCCTTTGTCGGGGGTCAACCGGAGTGCTTTCCCTGTTTTGGGACCTGTGAATTGGCCTCACAACTCTTGGCCTCACCTCGACCCGCAAAGCGACCCAGGCCCCGTGCAACTCGCATCCCATCCCCAATCCTATAACTCATATAACTTTAAAGATGGATGAACATGACATATAAATTATCATATATTTATCCGTGTTTGGAGTAAAGAGTCCTTGAACGCTTGAAAACTATATATGCCAATTTCCGACACTCTTTGAACTTGCCTCACCCGATAAGGTGTTTTTCGGTTCTGCAGGACGGTGGAACGATTCGTGGCGGATTTCGAATTTAAGTCTCTTGAAGTTGCCAGAGCTTTGGCAGGACGGTGGAACCGGGGATTTGTTGAACCGGTGTTTGTTGGATTCATACCGTTGGAAAAACTGCAATGGCCCCTAAGAAGGATAATATTGGGGTTGCTAAAGATGCCTTTGTTTCTTTAGCTGTTTTGGGACACCAAAACAGCCGTGTATTGGCGGCTGGGTCTACCCGATTTCTGGCGTGGGCCACCACCTCGATCTCCACGATTGCTTCGCCTCTATTCGGTGCGTCGTTCTTCGTTCTCGTTCGTTCGGTGGGTGTCGAAACCCCCCAGCTGACAGATGTGGAGTCAGGGGCATCACACTGTCAACAACGCCCCTATTTGTTGAGGCGAGATGCCCGGGCACCGGGCTTTTCGGGCTTGCGGACATGGGAAGATCCCGCCGATCGGTGTGAAGGCGATCAGTGCGAAACGCTGCTCCCCGTCCACGCCGAGGAAAGAAGACCAAGGGACTTTCCCCGCTCATTTGCGCCGTCATCTCGGGCGACGTGGACCCCAACGACGCGGTGGTCCGTGTCAGTGTTGCGAGTGGTCCACTGGGGTAGTGGCCCTCCTAGTTGATTCCATTGAAGGCCTTTGGTGTGGGTTTCAAGGGTCTAAACAACCTTCTGAGGAAGTGAACGCTGGACATGTGGACACTGAGAAACATCTTCGGGTCTCCATTTCCGAGCCTGAATATTGACCGTCGATGGTCGATGGATTGGTGGACAGTGTGGTAGAATGACTCATCTTGCAGATGTTCTGGTGTATTGTTGGATTTGATGATTTGGGTGATCGATCAGAAGCCTTTTCATACTTTGGATCGCTTTCCTTATGTCGTGGGTCTCTCCCAGTACGACCCGGAAGAACTCGGGTCTGAAGCATGCAGAACGGTGGCAGTAGGTCTGTGGCAGTAGGTCATGGCACAGGGTCCCACCCTGACCCCCGACCAACGGATTCCTGAAAATGCAGACGTCAACCGATTTCATGGTCCGGTGGTTGGGACTCACAGCCATGTATGATCCATGTCGTTTATAATCCACCTAGAAACTGATTTGACCTCCTTTTGAGCAAACCAATACATACAACAATCGTCCTCCAAAACAAGGGTCACTCAGTCAGGACCACCCACTTTGGGTGGTTTATTAGACACCCCTTTTCAAAGGTTTCTTCCATCCAATAACCACCCTTTGGGTGGTGCTGGTATGTAGCCATTTTGCGGGGCTTAATTGAGGTTTATTAGGTGTTTCACTATTGTTTCACGCTTTCACGGACGGCCAAATAGGTTCACTGCACGTGGTAGAAAAAAGGCTCTGCTTCGCGCCGAGGGGATGCGCCCATGGTGGCACATTTCGGAGAAGGCAAGGAAGTGAACAAGCCGACGCGTGCCAAGTGACTGGGACCGGAAATCGGAGTCCTAGGAGGGTGGAACCCCCCCACATCAAAACGGTCGTGAGCGGAGGGACAGGCCGGGTTTGGCGACCGGAATCGCTCGACTGTGGATTTGGACTCAAGAGTACCAGAGAGTGGTAGAGGCGGTGCCGGTACAGGTTCCGGCAGCTCCACTTGTGGTTTTGGGGGTGGAGACAGACTCAAAAGGAACTAGCCGTAGCAAAAGGATGGTCGTGTTTGGACATACACCCAGACCATTCAGAGACTTTTTTTGACGAGGACAGACTGCCAACTCTAGGGTTGAACACTGCGTTTGAAGGGGTTGCTGTCGGATCCATCCATTCTCGACATGTCTCGGTGCCGGGGTGCAGGAGCGGCGCGGGGTCGAGCGCAGGAGGGCCCTGGTTCTAAACACCTTCAGTTTGGGGTGAAGATGCTGTGAACGGATTCCCAAATCCTTCGCCGGGGCGTGCCGGGCGGCGGGTCCCGCCCCCGGGGCGGGAACACACGGTGGCCTCGTGGGCTGAACGGGCGATAGACTTGGACCGAAGTTTTTCGTTTCGGCGGCCAAGTGGTGGTCTTGGGTGACACTGGTGGCACGTGCCACTGGTCAGTTGCTTTTTGCTTTTTTTAAAATGGAGAGTCAGAGATCATGTGAACAAAACATGGAAAAACACAGACTGGACCTAACATCCGCACCATTGAATCCTTCGCACTGGTGTGGGTTTTCCAGATGTGTTGAATGTTACAAGATGTGAACTCTCCACGTTGGAGCCCACAGCTGCTGGTTGTCCACCGCCGAGGATTGAAGATGTCTTTGTAGCTCCTTGGTGGGTCGGACGGACGGGAGGCCAGTGACCTGGGCGGGTCTCCACGGGGTCACCGGCCGGCGATTCGTCACGTCGGTCGATTTTTGTAATAGAAGAACACCCCGGGTTTGGATTGTATTACCAGGAGTCACAAGGACGAGGTGCCGAAACTTGGAGGAAGTCGGGGTGCCCAAACGTCACATCCACAGCCCCTGGATGGGATGAGCCACACCACCCCGTCTTGTGACTCCTGGGACCCTTCATGTGACTCCTGGGAGGGGGAGACAATGTCTCTTGCACCGGCACACCAGCCTGCGCCCACCCAAAAACACGCGCCCCTGTTGGTCGTCTCTGCAGTTCCATCGGGGAGTCAACGAGCATACACCAAGACGAGGGGGGAGGTCTAGGCAGTCACCTATTTTCAGGCGTTTCAGCTGGCGAGAGCCACGTTGGGCAGCAATCTTCCTGAAACGTCTGCAAACCAATGGGACCAAGGGGCCTGGACTTGTTTTTGAGTTTGCACCATCCAAACCTCCCCTGAGGGACATTGGCCTCCTTTGATGTTTGCCTTGGAGCGCCTTGGCAGTTGATGGCTTCCTGAAGATTCAGGTAGTGCAAGTTACTGTCTAACACCTGCACGGGTACGGAGGTACGGGGCAATGAAAGAGCGATAGGGCACGCTCATGCATCCTGGCTACCCCACGAGCCATTGAAAGGGACACCTAGTTGTTGACGATGCAAATTCAGGCAAAGGAATCCATGAAATCAGGGTCCACACGCCTGCTATCCTGGGTCAAAGCCCTTTGTGGCATCAGGGAAGTCATCGACACTAGTCCAGGAAGGTCACCCTTACAATGTGGATTTGGGTTGATGTTTGGTTCGTCATGAATCACCACAAACACTGCCAGAGAAACTGACCTATTTGAGCTGGCGGTAGACAGCCAGGGGCTTGAAATGATATGTATTCAACTGTTCAACATTGTTGAACAACATTGTCGACCTTGTACTTGCGATGATTGTTCACTGACGAAACATGTTGAACAAGTTTTTTCATGACATCGAAAACCCGTCAATCGAGGTATGGTTCCAGACATCTGGATGTGGTGGAACAGTTGCTGGAGCTCAAGGCAGATCCCAATGGTGTGCCTTGGAGGGCCCGAAAGAGGTAAACCAAGAGGTATAGCTGGAGCTTCCAACTCTGCAACATGAGACACCAAACTTGGCTGGTTTGGTTCAAAGGTATACGGTATACATGTTGCACAGTTGGAAGATCCATGTACGCATGTATATAATGTGTATACATAACATATATGTGTTTTACTTATAGAATCTTGCAAGGTCACCAATTGAGGCCTTTAAAGGCCCAAGTACCCTCAAGCTTTAGCCCTGTTGGAGGGTCCTGGTATGTGGATCCTTTTTGTTGCCATTGAAGCATCCAAATGAATATTGTGTGTGTGTGCCTTTTTAGTATTTTTCAAAGGTTTTTGTTGTTTTCACTAGTAGCCGCTGGGTCTTGATCCAGTCCCGTGGCTGAACAGACGAAACGATGATGAGGTTTTGATGGTCCAAGTCCAAATGGGCACAGGACCGTGCATGTATATGGCACAAGATGCAGAACAGCATGATTCTTACCTGTGTTTGTGGAATCTCTTACCTCCCTGTTGTTAACATCAACATCATAATTATCAGATACCAACCTTACTTGAGGCGAACATCCCAGATGGGTGGTCCAATGAGTTGCAGCTTGGAAGTGGGTCATCCTCTTTCCTGAATGCTGTCTTGTTTCACCCAAGATCTCCTTCCCGGCCCAGGTAGATGGACTGGGGCTTCCACTGATGGGCGCCTGCAAAAGTATCGAGCAGGTGGTCCCTCGTCGGACTCCTTCGTCGGACGTCACGTCGGGTGTGCACCGGACCGACGAGACCATGCGATGCCCAAAAAGGTGCCAGCGGTGTTTGGCTGAAAAAGACCTCCAGAGCCACAACACTCTCACTTGGGTGGCGCATTGGGTGGCGTCATTTTGTGAAGCGATCCTACGCTCGGTTTGGCAGTTTCAACCGAAAGAATCCGAGACATGGTTGTTTGGACACCGGAACCTCGGTGTTTGAGCACTGGTTGCATATAGGTTTGAGCTGATTTTGGCCATTTTGTGCACCCATTTGAATGATCAGCAACACATGGTTGGTGGACCTGCTCGCTTCAACTTGCGGATTGAGCGGTTAGCGGTTGTCTTTTACTGAGGACTTGATGGTGAGGTATGGGGCAAATGTGAGACTTGGCACGTATGGGCTGTCGGATGAGAGGTTTGGTCTGCTTGCACCTTCTTTTGGAGGGGCGGTTGCTCCAGAATTAGCAGGCTAGAATGTGTCTTACATGTCTTTTTTTTTAAAACAAAGCCATTCAAAACCGTGATTCTGCACCAACATTCTATAATCACAGAGGAATAACCAGTTACATGTTGCCTGCAGAGATGGGTTACCGGTTGGTTGGCCCTGTGTCGAGAAAAAAAGGGCAACCCCACTCAAGTTGGTAGCTTGGATGATCCCACATGGACTATAGAGCACGACTTTTCATCGGTGCTTGAAGACGGTCCACCATTCCAAATCATCATCATTCTGTGCACCGCTCGAGTGGATCCAGATGGATCCAAGAATTCTGCCAATCCTTTTCAACATCTAATATCATCTAATTCATATCTATAATCTATTATCATGCACACACACACATGCCATATGCATGGCAAAGATGGCAAAGTTAGTTCAGCTGCCCTTAAGGATCTCAAAACCTATCAAAACCTACAGATCTGAGTCCGTCTGTGACCTCGGAAACTTCCCTGATAACCAGTTCCATCCTTAAATGGCAGTGCCGTCGAAAAGTGTTGGTTTTGGTCGTTTGCTTCGTTTATAACCATCACACGTCATGGACATGACATGGCATCCCATTTTGGAGCTACAGTACATCCTTATACCAGTTCCTTGTCGGAAGGGTTTTTCATCCCATCCAGTGGATCGTCATGTTCTCGGCACCGCCACCCTCGCAGCGCCGTGAAGCGCCCGGCCCAGCGCTCGGTCCGCCGCGAGGAACCACACCACGGGGCCGGCACACTTTCCATCCTTGTCGATGGCCTGCGCGCGGTGCGCGCCCCCGGAAGTGATCCGAGCCTCGATCCATCGAGTGGCTCCTGGCCTACCTCCGTTTCGAAGATGGTGATGGTGCCAGGGGGTCTAACCACCTTCTGAGGATATGGTTGGAGCCCTAGGGCCCTAGGGTATTTTTCCCAACATTCCATGTCCCATCTACCGTGGATGCCACAATTGCCTACATCCTTGAGGTGGTTTTTCAAAGGGGTCTTTCTGGGGCGGCAGTCGCGGCAGTCCCATGGAGTGTTTGGGTGTGATCATGCATGATCCCCAATTTTTCAATCTTCCCAACATACAATGCGGTGTTGGGGAGACCTATCGGCTTGAAAAGCACTCCTTGTTCCATCAATTTCCATCATATGGGTGTGTGTGTATTTGAATAGGAAGATCCCCTGGACTGGTCTACTTTCTTTCCTCCGGGTGGTCGAACTGGGAGGTCTCCCTATTTTAATACACACATGTACCAGCACCAGCACCTGACTCTACAGGTCACCATTTGCAACATATTTTGCGACCGCAAACTCCACCATTTTGGAGACCTGTCGTCGGGTGCTGGTATGGAATATTAATTCCATAAATAAAGCTGTAGACTCTAGACCTACCCTACAGGTCAGTTGGACCTCATCTTGCTGGAGTTGGTCATAACATTACTCAATCAAATTGTTTTACTGGGTCTTTGACCCTGTAGGGTAAAGCTGTAGACTCTTGATGCTAAATCCCCCGTGTTCATGGATTGCCAAACCTCTCCAGCCTCCTGAAAGATCATCAAGAGTCTACATAGATGATAGCTGGAATCTTGACCTACATTGAAACATCTCGAAGCCACTCCAAGGTATGTACAGATATACCAGTCCCATATAGTCCCATGGAAGGTCTGGGATATATGTCTTTTGTTTCTTTTCTGATCCAACCATTCACCGTCTATGAGGTGAGGCATACACATGTTTAACGTCAAAATCAATGGATCCCAGCGAATCCTCGCACGAGTCCATCCGATTCACCCCAAAAACTTGGCCGTTTCTGGTTTCGGGGCGGTTTCGGGCGGTTTCGGGAGATCCCGGTTTTCGCGTCTCAGGAAGGTTCATCGAATTTGGGGCAGAAGTGAACCCTCGAAGTGTCTCGGAGCAAGACGACGACCTGGTCCGCGGATCCGCGCAAAAGGGTCCGCGGGGAGGGTCGTGGCGAAGCAAGGCGAGGCGAGCGATGATGCAAGTCAAACTGAATTCAAGATGTCGTGGAATTCGACAACATGGCATTTTTCAGTGCGAGGTCAATGCGAGGCCAAGTTGAAACTATCTTCATATCCAGATCCTTGGAGCACCGACTTTGCAGCGGAATTCCACGCCCACACTGCCTTTTCTCTTTGCCATGTACTTGCCATCACATCCCGCACATGCCGCACACATCCCACACTGGACTCGTCCTTCGACGACGAGGTCGAGGGATTTGTTCGCCGCATCCCATCTCCAACCTGGCGCCCTGGTCCGCGATGAATGCCTCCTGCCGCGAGGCCGGCGGCGGCCGACGCGACGCGTGGCGAACTTGATTCCACCCCTTTTTTGGGGGAGGGGGGAAGTGCAGAGGTGGGCGACGCGAAGCTGGGTTTGGCAAGGGAGAAGAAATTTGTTTCGAGTTGACAGTTGAGTTGAGAATATATAGACTCAATGATGTAATTACTTTGTTGATCTAAAGGTCCTTGACCTGTTGGTAATGGCCGTTCTTGGGGAAAAATATTTTTTGGCAACCACCATGCAGAGGCTGTATGCCATGAAAGCGATGCCCTGGCTACACGTGGCAAGTGGTTCATTTGCTAGAAATTCTGCAGATGCGCAAAGCCGTGACGAGTGTTTTGGGTGCCGGTGCCAGTGCTGCAACAATTTCAGGTGGATATCCGAGAACGGCAAGATATCAATTGGTGTTTACTTGGTGCAACACACCAAGTTCACACAGTCAAGAACATGTAGCAGTGAAATTCAGTGAAACCAATTTACTCCAGTATCTTTCTATAGCTAGTCTGTTTTGTGTTTGCTGGTGGTATAGTGGCAACCGGATCTACTGGGTTGCACTAAGAAACTGCAGTTCTGACAAAAGCAATCTGGCACAGCCAATTTAGAGCTTTGGAGGGTCAGCTTCTTGCATTCCCAATCCATCATCCTTCGCCATTTATTTTTTCAGAGCATTCCCAATCTCCTGGATGGATTCGGATTCCTCGGCAGGTGACCTCCGTGTTCGAAAACCGCTCAGGTGGCGATGATGTTGGTCGAAGCCAAGTGCGATGTGAATTTGAAGCACGAGGCCAAAGGCGCCACCGGAGCCCGACCAAGCCGACCCCAGGTCCGTCCGTGGTTGGACCAGCTATCTGGGTGTCCGCTGGAGATTCTGGAACAGTGTAGGGTAGTCCAGCCACACCCAGACAGGTCTCAAAGAAAGATTCTATACGATTTTCTTCCAGGTGTCCAAGCAATTTGATGCTTTGGCATGATTTGAAGCGTTCAAAGCAATTGGACATTGGGAGTGATTGCAGCAAAGGCCCTTTTCCACATGCTAGGAAGTGTAATTCGCATCAATTCCATCTGATGACAAGTCAAAAGTGTTGAAGCTTTTGATCATTAACATTCACTGCAGCAAAAGCAAATTTTTGAGGTGTAATGCCTCCCCCCAAAAAGCTCCCCCTCCACGTTGACCCTTCCCGCAAAAGCACCCGCTTCACTTCCCTCCATGCTCGGCGGACGGACACGGTGTCCAGCCGCCATCGGCGCGCTCGGGGCGCGCAGGTCTCTTCAAGGCGATTGAGCTGGTAAGTCGAGCGCAACTGCAGCTGGTGGGCTCGAAATCCGCGCTGGTGCCGCTCGGAGGAACCCGAACCGCCACAGGTCTGAGATCTGGGCGATCGCTGTTTTTTTTTTTTTTTTTTTTTTCGGAATGTTTCGGAGGATGCAAGGAGATGGAAGGTGGTGAGGCTCTTCGAAGTTCCTTTGAGGTGGGTGGTATATAGTTGCGCGGGTGATGTGAAGATCGATGGGACGGATTTTCATCCCGGATGATCGGATGAACAACTCCCGGATTGATGGGGACGGATTGACTCAGTCGAGTCAATTAAACACCATAGAGGCAAGCCGGCACGATTAGAACCCGAAAGAAACTAAAAAGACAGATAAAGCCACCGAGCAGAATGCGCAGTGCATGAACTGTTTTCTCATTGTTGTTGTCACATGTGTTCGTGTTTGCCATATTGGTTCCTGTGAGTGTGGGTAAAATGTGTCAAATAAACTTGAACCAGTGAAGAATAGTGAAGACGCCTTTGTTGGGTGGTTCTGCTTCTGTTAAACATCTTTGCTTACTTTGGTATACAGATCTCGATGTATACAGTGTTTGCTCACACCCATCTGAGACCCCGCCAAAAGAGAGCATTCTTTTCGGGCTTCGGAGAGTCTCGGTGTTTGGACTGAGACACTCTCGGAACAGGTCGATGTTGAACGTTTCAGGTGCTACGTTATGGTCTCGACCCTCCGAGTGTCGGACCCCCGGGTCGCCCAAGGCATTTCTACTCGGAATGGACGACAACTCCCTTAGGCTTCTGAACCAGAGTGAAAAAGGAGGGGCGCGCCTCGCAACGTCATGTTGGGCATTTAAGAAGGCTGGCCAAGACGTAACAGGCGCAAAAAGCTCTGTGGATTACGGCCAGTTTGTTTTCTATATCGCCCGTGTCCGGGCGAGTTCCTGTGAGTTCATGTGTTTTTCTCCTACCAGTTCACCCGTTTTCTCCATCCAAGGTCCAAGGATTACGACTCGAACAACCTCTCCAATAGGGTCCAAATTTTGATGAAGTCTTTGGACCAAACGTGCGGTCCAAGGATTACGTCACATAGAAAGGATCGTAGATTTCGTAGTTACGAAATATAACGAAAGATGTTGCATTTCGACCTTGACATGACAACGTAACGTGGTCCAAGTCTGTGTGAGCTTGTCCATAACGGGGAACCAGCACACGCATGGCCAATTCAAGACATAAAACCGTCCTTTATGGTCAATCATCTTTGGAACTGAAGTGTATATAAGTGTGATTTGAAGAGTGGCCTGGAACCTGGAACCCAGACGTGACCCCTTGTTACGATTGGACATTGAAAAGACCGTATTTTTGTTGGTTGGTTCAAAATAGAGGTCGTAATATTTGGAGAGGATCAAACCCTGCATAAGTTGCTTGAAACTTGACCAGCTGCTTCCTTGAGGGGTCATTTGGACACCTCGAACGGAAGTGCTAGAGTGAACATTTCTGCCTTCTTCATGGTCTAGCAGTGTCTATACAGTGTACTTCAAGGACCTCTCCAGCGGCCTTCAATAGAGAAGCAGCACCTTTATTATCCTTCATAATCCTCCAAATATCTCCAAATAATTCCTGTTGAAAACAGTTGTGACTTGTGACTGACCTATATATTTGGAAAAATACCTGCCTCCGCTTCTTCCAAAAGTGAGAACCATTCTGGGATCTCAAGTTGGGTTACTTTGAAGGTCCTGGCAAGTCTCTGTGGTGAGGCTTCGCCTGCTTCTTCGGTGCAGAGCAGCTCGTAGAGTTCCTCCTGGACGCTCGGAGCGTTGTTTGGGAGCGCAATGTAGACTCTTGATGAATACACCACCGCATATGACCATATGAAGAGGTTCTTCAAGTGAAATGGAGGGGGTTTATTAATCAATGAGTCTACATGACCTGGTTTGTCACATGTCCACTGGATTCCATGCAGGCGTGCTGCAACAGTAGGTAGGTTTGGGGGGGTTGTGACCCCACAAGAAACCTCAGTTTCTGGGATTTGGACGGATTTGGGGAGCCCAAGCATTCACTCACTTCCTCTTTTTCAGTGCTCCAGTCGCCGTGAAGACGAGTGAGGAACACGATGCTGATCCTGAGATAACGAATGTCAGAGGCCACAAGCCATTTGAGCTGGCCCGGGGAGAGAGTGTGAAGAAGCTCGCATTGGTTTCAGATGCTGTGCGTGGATGGACCTCTGATATTGTACGTTTGTGCTTCCACATTGTCATACAGTGTCAGTGTCACACGTTGACGTTGTTGAGTTCTGTCATCACACGTGTCACTTCAACTTCAACGTCCTTTAAAGCCTTGGTCCAATGATGTCCAATGCAATTCAGATTTTTTGGCCCGAAACAAGATCCCTGACTGCCTTGACCCTGAAGTCCAGATGCGGAACTGGGGCAGACATTTCTACCTCCTTCACTTGGTTCCTACATGTTCCTACGGTACTTACAGGGTGAACTCTCAATCTTTGAGTTGAACATAGACTCCCTATGACTCCCTGAATTCATCATTGAAGCGGATGGCACCACCTGATTGGTATTCGAAATGGCCATGCCATCCAATTCCATGATCAATCCAGTGTACACTTTTTTGATTCTCCTGAACCTTTGGTGTGATCGTCTTGGAGAATGAACCTCGACAGATCAACTGATCAAGACTCCTCCGAGAGATGTCCAAAAGTGTTTGAACGGTGGGGTGATGGTGCCCATGATCCGTTCTCCGGGTCAAACCACCCAACCCTTTGGAACTGCAGGCTGCTCGTCATGCAAGCTCTATGGGTGTGTAGCTCCAAGCTCGGGAGACCGACCGACCCCCTGGAAGGTTTGGGAAATAGACCAGCCTACCCAGCCTACCCAGCCAGAGCCAGGGAGTGTGCCTATTAAACTACTACACCCATGTGCCACCGACCTGTCCAGATGAGGTCCCAGAATCCGACGGCGGAACGAGCAACGCGAGGAGTCAACCAACCAGGGTCCGAACTGTTTGGATCACTTGGTGCATAAAACCGGATGTTGAGTCCACCTCTCACACTGAAGTATGTTCAATAGAACAGACCATGGTGTTGGCTTCTTTAATTTTTTGGCACTGCCTTGCTGTGTTAAACAAATACAGACATCCGTTGATTGGACGAGCCCTTTTGAGGAAAAAAGCATTTAAGAAGCCAAGCCTCGTTCAATCTTCTGGAGCACAGCGGAACAATCTGAGATTAGACCCGATACGACGAGTGATTGCAGCAAGCAAGCCGTGCGGCCCCCCATGCGGCTCTGCGGCTCGTTGCTCAGGAGAGTGATTCAAGAGTTTAAGAGCACGATATCTATCTGAGTGCAGCCTTATGATTGCTTATCGCCGCCCTTACCAGGTCCTCAGCCATGAAATGGCGCTGAACGGCAGCGACCAGAGATGCATCTTTAGCCACTTCAGGGACTGGAAAAAAGTCCTGGAGCAAAGTCCCCTTCCTAATGAGGGACGGATGGCCAACATCTTGGGAACATCATGGAGCCCCCAAAATGGTGAATTTCGGGACCCTGTGAGTCCGATACCCAGACCTGAAGGGCTTTCCTCTGCGTTTGAGTGGGATACGAGTTGTCATTTGGGACTAATAAAGGTAACACCTATCGCACCATCCAAATTTCATGCCTAACATGGAGCATGTTCTTCTTCTCATGTTCTCCCTGTACGTCATGTCGTGCTCGAAAAACATCTCTCAACCCGGCACAGCTTGGTCCGGGCAAAGGTGTTGGGTGAAAAAAGACGTCCGTCCCCTGTTTGGGGTTTCTTTAGCCCCGAAAAGAGGTGCTTTTCTTGGTGAATGGACACCACCCCAACTCACCGTAAGTTCTAGAGATTGAGACACCCTTTTTCCGTCGTCAGCCCGCTGCAGGATGCAGTGGTTAATACCCAGGGGTTCCTGAACAGCTCCAGGTGTCCCGACAGGTGCGTGCGTGGTTCACAAAATGCTCCAACGTTGAGGTGCCTCATACCAGCAATGCTCCTGACATGACATTTGCGAGCGCAGGAACCGTGAACAAGCCCACCTTACCCAGACCATCCATGGAACCGGAATAAGTACAGGATCATGAAGAATGGGACCAATGTCTGAAACTACGTCACGTGACGCATAAATAAGCACATATATACAGTAATTATATGGTTTGTTTGTATGTTGGGTAACAATTAAGCAGTTTTACATCCAGCCTATCCCCCCAAACAGATGCAGCTCTCACCGTTCTTTCATGGCGCCGCGCGAGCGAGCCTCTCGAGCCTCTCAAGTGGTTCGCGCTGGCTGCCTTCACACTTCCGACTGAGTTCTGAGGGAAGTGCTGGAGTGGTGCAGACAAAACATGCAGCAACCAACCAAGGTGTTACTAGCATTTTCTGAAGTAGCTGGCAACGCGAGTGGTGCAGATGTGCAGATGGGAGGAGAAGGAGAATACTCACCAACAACGTTTTCGCACAGGATCTGCCGGGATGGCAGGAGAAGGAGGAAACACGTGGGAAATCCAATTGAATATAGGGAATCATACAGGGAAGGAACATGCGTGAGGTCAGATGTGATTTCCCGAAATGGACGCAACAGATGGACAGCCAAGTAGGGAAGGCATCAGTTGCACTTGTGGATCATACATCTACATGTTATATCAATATCCTTTTCATACCTCAGGAGATGGGAGTTTGCAAGCTGGAGATGCAAGTAGTTTACTTCTCCTCTATCAGTGATGCCTCTCTCAGGATCTTCTCTCCAGGGTCATGGAGTTGGGCTTCAATCGACAGACATCAGCGGGTGATTTCTGTTCCAGCGCCACTCTGGCCGATTTTGAAGGTGCCTTCAAGCGTAGTGCATTGCCCCCTGACTGTGGCTGAGGATGTGGGCTGGTCAATCGTAACGGTTGGTGAAGTTCTTTGTTCCCCCTATGTTGTGTGTATATATATATACACCGTTATATGATGTTATATGGCGTTATACAGGAGATATATTTTACAAAGACCTCAGACTCTACTGTATGCATGCTACCCTATCGATCCGTGCCTCTTGCTGTTTGCCTTTGTAAAATGTTGTGATGGCTATATACAAGTGCATTTAGTACATAGTCAAGAATGATGATGACTGATGGCATGTGATTACCATGATTTTGTAGATGATAACACGGATATAGAACGCAGCAGATCACCACACACACCTTGAGTCCTACCTGATTGTATCTCGTATTCTATTCACTTGTTTCATTTGAATTTGCTTTCTTTAAATTGTGTAACGTTCCCTAATGGAAGACTGACAGACACTGCTTGTCAGAACGGTCCCACACGAAGCAACAGAACTGCACGACACAAGTATTGAAAGTGTTTTCAAGTTGTAAAGTCAGCCTGGATTTGGAGGCCAATGTGTCTATTTGACGAAGTCCACACTTTCCAAAGGCACCCTCTCCTCTTAGCACATAAATAGTTTAACAACTTATATTAGACCTACCTCATGAATAGATGTTTTAACATTTGTTTATGATAGAATAGGCTCCCTATATAGAATATAGTCCTGACAACAATAGAATCCATTGATAGGCAAGTTGAGGACTTGGTAAGAGCATGGTGAGATGGACATAAGTTTACATGCCTTCCACATGGTGTGTAGTGCCTTTCAATCGAACAAAGACATTTTGACAGTTCACATAGACATAGCAGTTGCCCGAATGTAAATGCAAGAACTTCTCACCACATATATATATATAGTACAAATTCATATATATATATATAGAGAGAGAGAGAGAGACAGAAGCAGGTCATGTTTTTTTCTTTTTAAACGTATATATATATATATATACACACGCATCATATATATATATATATATATGTGTTTCGTATTTAACACATGCATTCCACGCTTCGCATTGCACCTGATCTGAGCAGCCACGTCGTCACATCTGGAGCCTAATGGCTTTAAATTCTGCAAATACCAGGGGATCCATGTCATGTCGTGGAAATATTTCCAACGGCGTTGCATGACTATGGAGGTGATGTAGGACAGAGTAGGTTGGCAAATGCGACAGAACGAGAAGGGTAGGAGTTCCATGACATCATGACAACCCAAACGGGGTGAAATGACCTCCCCTGGATCACGAGATTGGAAAAAGGGCCATGGGTGGCCTGCACGTAGTCTGTTTTGGCACGAATTGTGTATATAGAGCATTTGTGTCAATGGGTAAGTGCGTTATTGCCATCTACCTACAGTTTTGTTTTGTGATTGTCTTCGATAAACATTTGTTTCGTAGACTTCCCCCTACACCGAATTTGGCAATATACCCAGCCACTAATAAGTCTTCTTCATGAACCATTCCGTCGCCGGCAACATTAAAGGCAGAAGCACATGATGGTCTCCAAAACACCCCACACCGGGGTTCAACCACATGATGCTGGTTCATGAAACATGCATTTGTCTCCAGCAAACCTTCGGTACATGGAGTGTTTCTCATCGGTTCTTGCTGGATAAACATGGTTCCGACCCGGAAGCCGGGCGATCCTTCTGGAACGAGACAGAAGTGATGTGGATCCGGCGTTCGTCTACGTAGGTGAAGGCGGAACTCCTGCAGATCAGATTTGATCTTAATTTTTGAAGGCTAGTTGGTATGGCTGCGACCACGTGTTCCTTTCTATTGGGTCAAAATTGCCCCGCATGCCCCTTCCTATTCGGTAATTAGATACTCTTGGGGGAGCTGTGACCCTTCAGAAAGGTCAATCATGTGACTGACTGACCAGCAAGGCTCCATGGGTGAAAGAATCGCAGGTTCGAGCATCGTGGAACAGCGCAAAAAACATAAAAACATCTAGGGCGTTGGCCATGGAGATAGCGGAGAAGTCTTGACAAGTTCAGCATGCACCGAAGTACAGGAAGTTGAGGAGCCTTGGTGACAGATGACCACACTAGTTGAAGATTCCATTGAATGGACACAACCCCAAAGATACAGGTGGGCCTGGTGGGCCTTGGCAGCGATCAATAATCCTTGAAATCAGAAGCTATATAGAAGTCTTGACTGCTTAGGTTTCAAAGACACAGATTTGTGCTGGTATTCTAATCAGATTCTAATCCAACAATTATGCTGCCAATCCAGGTAGTTACCACTAGGTGCCCACATCCTTTGTGAATTTGATACACATCAAATTAAATACACATCCAGTTTCAACGTTCCGCAATGTTTATCTCGTTTCAACCAATCGCACCACAGTGCTAAATACCAGAAATGACGGAATCGACTTTTGAACAACGCTGATTTGAACAACGCTGTGCATATCAATATCCCACACACTCCATGTATGGACACTCCATGTATGGCATATGACCATACATGACCATTTGATACCATTTGTGGTTGAACAGGGGTCAATAGGCAGGTGGTGAACCTTCCAGTTCCCATGCCGTCCGTCGTGTTCCAAAAAGGTCGTCCGTCCGTGTCTAGAAAGTAAGTTCGATGTCTGACAGGACCCAAAGGACGAAGATCCTGGGGGCCATGGGACATGGCCAGCTTACCAGCTTACGCATGAAACTGGATGCCATGCCTGGAACTGGGGGGGAAGTCTTATTCAGTTCTTCAGTTCACATGCCTTGGCTGTTCGGCTGTTTCTTTCGGCATTCGCACCGCTTCACCGTGGAGAGCTGAGATCGCAGCTGCACTTGGCACTTGGTCTCCCAGACGCCGAGCCACAACCGGGGGAGTGGATCGCAGGTGCCTATCAACACCAATGAGTAAGGTCTCCACAACCAAAGATACTTGCCCAGCCACCCATCTTGTGTTAACGTTCATGTTGGGTTCAATAGAGGATGCACATCCATGCAAGTCATCCATATTTCGTGCTATGTGGTCTATTGGCTTTTGCCCATCCATTTGCCTCCATTCTGGTTCGTCATGCTGCGGTGGATACGCAAGTCTTGCTGGATGCACAAGTCTTGGATGCCCTGATGCTGCAAATAAGTCTGCCTGCACACCCATCCGTAATGGACAGGAGCTGCTTGACTTTAAACAATATCCAGTTTGTTTGATCGGGGTCTTCCTAGGGAATACCAATCGCTGGCGCACCACCAGCAACAGCAACCCTTTTGGACCACCCCGTTTGTGAGGTGGCAAGCTTTTGGGTTCAGAACCATATCTGTGATCCATGTATGTCGAGGTTTGGGAGTCCATCGAGCGAATTGGAGCAAGCATTTCAACCCGAGACTGCGAAGCCTGGAAGCTTCGAACACGGAAGCCAAACGCTCCTCTACCACCTTATTCTGAACAGCTAGAGTTAGATCTTTTGCCAGATGTCATAGGTTTATTGTAGTTTTGCGAATATCACAGGCCATAGAATAGATGGTGTGGATTATGGTGGATTTGGTCGACACCAAGCCAAAAGAGGTGAACCAGAACTCGCCTGTTTCCTACGTGCCACGCCATGGAGAAGCGCATGGCCATGTGGCAAAAAGACCTCGCTGGGCAGACTGAGCTGGGCGGGACATCCAAAG